ATAACTGTTTATGACTACAGATAATAGAAGAGTATGATACATGGATTTATGATGTACCAAGTTTTAATCCATTCCAGTGTGAATTCCTAGCTCCAGTGGTAAGTGTAATCACAATCTTAAGACATTATTAAATGGTACTAATATTATTTATTCTCGAAATGCAGGAATTTATTGTTTGACGTAATGACGATGGTATTTGGTGATTTACATATTTATGAAAACAATTCATAGTTTTAGAAACAAATGATTGATATGTTGTTAGATGCAGTTCTGCTACATTTATGCATTTTGAGAATTTTGTAAATTCTTGTTTTGTGTTTTTTGGCGAATACAACTTCTAGGCAATTATATTGTCATGGGTGTTGTCATAGCATTAAAAGCTTATATGTTTTAATATAAGTATTTTTATTTCATTATTTGTAGACTTTCTCAACTCCTGAATTGACTCAGTATGACATAGAGAAACTGAAAACAACCGATTCAATGCCCCCAGAGTCAAACAAAATTATTGAAATAATTAACACTTTTCAATCTGAGGAGCATAGTTCAAAGTAAGTATTTTTGATTACATAGTTACTGGGTATATACTAGTAGGCACCATTATTTTATGGTTATGTTTGAACTACTTTTGAATCAATTAAGATCAGATATTTGGATTGTTCCTATCGGTGATAAACTTCTCTCAAACCACTGGACTGTTTACTGGTTTTATTTCAGTGATAAATTTCTCCCAAACCACTAGACTGTTTACAGGGTTTATATCAGTGATAAACTTCTCCCAAACCACTAGACTGTTTACTGGGTTTATATCAGTGATAAATTTCTCCCAAACCACTAGACTGTTTACAGGGTTTATATCAGTGATAAATTTCTCCCAAACCACTGGACTGTTTACTTGGCTTATTTCAGTGATAAACTTCTCACAAACCACTGGACTGTTATTAGTGACTAAAACATTGTGTTGATTACATGTATTTCCAAATTTATACATGTGTTCATTTTGATCAGTCAATATAGTTTTGTACATTGACTTGTATTCTAGATGGGTGAGTGCATTGGAGGAACTACCAGGTCTTGTCAATCCTTGTTTAGCCTATGTAAACAGTGATAGTATCAAAGTACTGGCTGAATGGACACTTGAAGCATTGGATTTAGACAATGCCATTGCACAGTCAATAGCTGTCAATGTGAAACAATTAAAAGCTGGTATGAATCTCACTACAGCCTTATGTAATTGTGGGCCAACTGTGGCAGAAGTACTCGTTGTAAGTAAATACTACTTGTGTTCTTTCCAGCCTGATTTACTTCAACTTACTGTTCTTCACTTTGATTGAATTTGTAATAGCTGTCACTTTTATTGGTCACTAGTTAGCTCATTTCTTTTTTTAATACCATATTTAACATTTTTAGTTTTTAGGGTATTAATTTGGGTCGTGTCTGTGCAAATGTGTGTGCACATTTTCATGTTACCAGCTTTTTCTCACACATGTGTGATCCAATTCAGTTCAGAGTTGGTACAGAGACAGAAATTGATGGTGCTATTATGCACATCAAGTTATTTTTTCGATTCTTCAAAGTTTAACTGTGTTTTTCCTTGATTTTTAACATTTTTCCTTCAAAACTGATGGAAAATCCGACTTTTCCCGAAATTACCCGAGTTTAATCTGAGTTTTGATGACGCTTACGCAGTTCTCGTCTCTGTGGAAAATCACAGTCATTTTTGTGAGGATATTGTATCCCGGAATTGTATCTTTATTTGCACAACGCTTATGTGGACAAAATTGTGTCTCATCAATTTCAAAGGTAAGAAACTGTGCTTGTTATGGTATTTATACACTTTGTATTATCGTTTGTGTTTCAGGTTTGGTAATCTTGAGAAACTATTGCTAACCTGGCGAGTGTTTCGCCAGAAAAACTGCCTTTTTATTATTGTAGGAACTTTTTATGTATTGTGTAAATTAAAAGTTTACCTCGTGATTTAAGAGGTTTGCAGTGCTCTCACCGGGATTCAAACGTCGTGGTGGTGTCGGCGCAATGCTGCTCTGAGACGCTTGCCAGACTCTGCCTCGCTCAAAATCATTATCGCCATGCTTGATTTCCGCAACATTTACATTTGTTTATGATTTCCACAGCTATTCGCTGTTCATAAACAGCCATAAACAAGTTTAGTTGGGTCAGCATGTACTCATTGAAAGTGTTGGTTTATTTACGTAATCCACTGATCACGCAATAGGCGAAGTTAAAAATATGTCGCTACTCAGGAGAGCTTGCCCACAACGCTAAATGTCCCAATATAAACGTACCGTTACGTTTATTTTTTCCACAGAAAAATTCCACCCGGTACATTTTTATTTGAGACTGTACGTTTATTTATTTTTCTAAATCCGGCCGATTAAAAAAAAAATCATGCCTTTTTCCCCATGAGAAACGAAACCAAAAGATCGCACTCAAACATCGGTAAATCTGGTCTTCCGTGTTGTTTTCACCATGAGGTCGCTGAACTGTCATATTTAAATGCTTTATGGTAATTTGAGCACATGGGCACCATCCAGCATTTTGATTGGTTGATTAGCAACTTGACCTATCTGGTCAATAAACACGCGTCGTGGGCAT